CTGGGAGAAGCAGGTAAAGAAGCCATCAAATCCAATGCAAGTAGAAAAAGTCCCAATCAGTGCTCCGAAAAACCCGTAGAGTTTGTCTTTTTTGTGGATCTCTCCTTCCAGCTCCCACGCCAGTCTCACTTTGCCTTCCTCTTTGCCTGTGTGTGTGTGTGAGCCGGTGTGTGTGCTAGAAGCATTCAATTCAGTAGAGGCTAGTGGTAGTAATGTTTCTCTCCCAGTAGAAATGGCTGCTGTTTGTTCAATTGTTGTGATAGATTGATGGGAGGGTGGGAAAGGATTGGCTTTTATGCACCTGAAGATAGGAACAGAAAAGTCTTTATGAGAAGCCAATAGCTCTCCGCTCAAGGATCCTCTGATGGGAGATGCTGTTTGCTGGAAGTTTTTTCTCTCTCTCTCTCTTTTTGCTAAATCTTTGACGAAAGCTTTCTCATGTATTCAGGCAGTTTGGTGAGACTCAATTACCCCCGAAAGAGCACTTTTTATTTGTTATTCCCATAGACTGTATAAAAGAAAAGGACATGGCCTTCAGGTCTGAAAAGTAAAGCCAATATGGAGCCACATTAAACCACAATTCCTTGTTATTACCAGCAGGGGTCTACTCAACTGTACTCACCAAAAAGAGGCCAGAATGCGTAGAACTAGATGAAAAATTAGTTTACTATATACTTCAGATTTAACCTAAATAACCTACATTTATGCTCCCAATTGCTAATTCAAGTATTTTTTAATACCCCATGATGTTAATTGGGTCCATTTTGGTTCCATTCACATTAAAATATACAATATAGAAGGCTAGTCTTCAAGGCAATGCTTCCTTGTGATTCAAAAGTCACAGCCAGATTGACATTGTACCTGGAGACCCCCCCCCCCCTGACAGTGAAAGGGACTTCCATCTAAGACTTCCTTCTCCTTATGTTGCCATGGTTAACAGGATTATTAGCTGCACTCATGCAGATATCTGTTTAAAGACATAAATGTAAGCCAAACTGAAGTAAAATGGCTGCGGATGGGTTTTCGGGATTGGGTGTTCTTATGATTGTGTTCTTCCTCATTAGCTCTCCACTCAGACTGTTTTCTTGTGTACAGCCAATGCACGCTGAAACGCTAAACGAAACTCTAGCCATTGATACCACAATATAAAAGAGAAAAGCGGGAGAGTCATTAAAAAGATTGTTAGTTGTTAAAAGAGAGAGACCGAAGACATGCAGCAAATAGGCCTTTTGACGGTCTCATTTGAACGCTGGACGGCCATAAGGGCTGAGCCCCTCTGCACATGGGGCGTACGCTCTGAACACTGAGCTAAAGCGCCCGTAACAATATCACTCTAACTACAAAATAATAGGGTGACCCGTCAATCAGCTATTTGTATCCACCTGCTTGTTCAAATATTGTCCCTTCCATTTTCAAGAAAACAAAAGGGTATCAACCCAAAAAGCAAAACCTTAGGCTTCAAAATGGTGGTAAAAAAAAAAAAAACATAAAAAACTATGGTGCCTATCATGCTTGCCTCGCCCACTTTCTATACAGTCTATGGCTATTCCATAAAAAATACCTTCTTTATGACATTGGTCCAGTAGGGTTTCATTCAGTGGTTATACTAACAGTCTGTGTGGTTTTCTTGTGACACTGCTGGGATTCCATACAAGGAATAGGTGCCAAGGTTAACTTCAGTATAAGCACACTGTATTAGTGAGGAGAGCTAAAGACAACATGCAGACTGGAGGACTGGCTGCCCCTGCCAGAAAATGTGAATGAATGAAGTTTGATCTTTTCTTTTGTTTCAGGTGTGTGTTTGTGTAAACGACAGTATGGCTATATGTTTTGGTTGATACATTTAATGGCTTGATCCAAACCACAAAATGTTATATGTCACAAAATATGTTTTTAATGGTTGTTTTTATATTGGGTGTTATGTCTATAAAATGTTGTGTACTGGGACTCAAATGTTTATGTTGTTTATCTGTTGAGCTAAGATATAATTAGTGCTGTACCCCCTCAAATCCCCAGTAGATAAATGTTTCTAGATCTGTTTGTTCCAGTTTTTCTTTCATGATTAAAACCTGTATCTCAATTTATATAAGACCTTTTTCTTCCACAGTATTCTCTTTGATCCTTTCTTCGGTCTGTCCATTTACAGTAATAGATGTAGCCCAGCATGACCTCACATTAGAGACAAAGGATCTGTGTTCTCCCACAACTGTTTTTCACGCTCCTCTGATAGACTGAGGGTTAAAGGAGACTGTTTGCCCAGAAATTAGGTGACGGCAGTTGGGCTTGCAAATGATTGGCAAGGCGAGATTGTGTATGATACATTCCATTGGCCCTACTTTTCCTTTTTTTTTTTTTTATTTGTGTTTTATGGATGTCGATTTTGAAAGGAAGGAGGTCGTATAACTCCTGTTTACTGACTAAAGTACAACCTGCGCACATAAAATTGAGCACATGGATAAGAAGTGGTGATGTTTTCAGGCACGCTGCCTAATCATGTTAGCTTTAACGACCATCTACTGTATAGAGGGTATGCACTAGGGATGGGCATTTAAAGTAATCCAAATTCTCGAGTCCTCACTTAGGTTTTATATTTTTAGGCAAAGCCAGAAAGCTCAGTTACACATGAGACTCTTAACTACGTTGAACTATTGTAGCTTATAAACGTGAATGCACGAGTAATGAAAGGTTACTATAATAATGCCAAGAACGAGTACCAGAGTATTGTACTTGTACCCATCAGTTACACCCACTGATCAGCAGACTGTACTGGTGATAATAGTGGATGTTAGCCGTTAACAGCTTTGATTCAGCTGAAAAGAGCCGTCTTTTCACTAACTATTTAAGTATTCTCTGCGGGCAGTACAGATCCTCTGCTGATGTAATATGTTTATAGAAATGTTTGGGTAAGTGCCTTAATAACGCCACAGGATGAAGACATGCTGTAGCAGCTACTGTATACAGTCTGTGTATACATCACAGAGCCTACATGCATTCATTTTTGGTGGAAAAATGACGTCAGTGCATACCCTCTTTATGAAGTAATAGATTCAGTACAGAACCTTTTATCCATATTTTCTTGATCTGTCCTTATTGCACTCTTCCTCTTCCTTCCTCTTTCTCCCTCTGTCCTCCTGTGCACCATCTGCATGAAGCTTGCATCCAATCTGAAGGAGGGCTTTCTGTTCTCTACTGTGGTGCGCTGACTTGAAGTGTGTGTGTGTGTGTGTGTGTGTGTGTGTGTGTGTGTGTGTGTGTGTGTGTGTACACTTGTTTGTGTATACATTCCGAGCCATCACAGTCACTCTCAGCTCATTACTTGACATGATGGATGGAGTGAGTGCCATTAAACAACGCCCAGCCTGGGATGCCTGGCACCCTACAGCTGGCACTGAGTAATGGGCAGAGGGGTGGCGGCACGCTTGGAAACACCGGGGAGTCCTGTGTGTGGGTGTGCCTGCAGTCATCTCCATGGCTGTGCTTCCTTGTTCTGTCCAGCCCCACCTGCCACCTGGCTGCCCGCTGGATGCCATGGGCATTTCTGGGCAGACATGGTTGGAAAGCATGGGCGGCAGTGTTTGTATGACTCTTTCATTGGACTGCCAAACGAGCAAACCTGAAGTGCTACTGGCCCTGCTTTCTGACCACAAACTCTGCAGTGAAACACTCAGTTCCGACCATCACCTGCAGTACATAAGCCACTTTAACTTTTTGACTAACTTTGATTTATTTTATTTGTACTGAGATTTATAGATAAAAAAAATCTTTACATCTCAAAGTCTCTAAGTGGTCTTTTTGTAATGCAATATGAAGACAAAAATATTAAAAGTCCCCTCTACTAGAAAGAGTTTGGTATCTAAATCTTTTACAGGTTCATTTTGGAAAAACTATATATCAAACTGATCTCTCAGTCGTTGCAGGCTTTTCAAGGGTCTATATACTGTATATACTAAAGATCTACAGATTTAGTCTTTGTTTTTTTTTCTTTGATTTTGATTTAATTTAGTGTTTTATTTTCATTTGTTGCCTTTTTAAAACATTTGTATTTATTTAGATGTTGTCATGTAGAATTATTCCATGTCACTAAGAATCTTTTTCATAGACTGTATATCACAAGCTAGTCCTGCAGTCCGTTTTCCATACTTTTCTATGTTCTTTATGTACTCTATTTACTCTCTTGTAACTCTCATATGAGCTTTCATTTAATATGTATTATTTTTTATTTTTTATTTAACCTTCCATGTCAATTGAAAACTACAACACAAACAAGTGTTGCTGTCCTTGTTCATTGCTTTTCTGTGATCCATGGTTGTATCACGTCATCAGTCTTATTCTTCCAAACATCCTGTAAACTTTCTTTTTTTATCTCATTTTCCATTGATTCAGTCTGGCTTCCCTTTTTTGTTCAGATTGTATTTCTTTAGATCAGGGTTTTTTCATCCTTACATGTCTTAGTCTTTACACTTCTATGCTCTAAATGTGCTGTATATTAATTTCTTACATTCCTTGCGTCCTTCAGACTTTCATAGATCTGACTATTCTATTTACCATGTTTTTTGTGTCCTCTGTATTCGTGTCCTATGTTCTGTATATGCTGTCTTATTATTCTCCGGCCCTCTTGTTTTTGCATTTACCCGCATGTGTGCATTTACGTTTTTCTTTTGTGCATAGGCTAAATGTGATGTGAGAGCAGTCGAGGGGCTCTTGAGTGGAAGACTGGATCAGGAGCTGAATGGAGTTACTATGACACCAGACACAAGCACCTCCAACAGCTTCCTCTGTTTCTCTGTCCTCCCCTGCTGCTCGGCTCTCAATCAGCCTGGATTTGCTTCATGTTGTTCCTTCTCTCCCCTCCGTCTCCTTTCTCTGCCTCCCTTTAGTGTCTCTCTATACAGCCTTTCATTTAGTTCGGCTCCTGTGTGCCAGTGCGGATCAATGTAACAACATTTTCTTGTTCTTTCTCAGTCTCACTCTCTGTTCCTTTTTCTTTATGTCTTGAACAGACAACCGCCGCGCAGTCCTGGAAAGGTCTCGTTCGCGCCACAACGCAAATCACCCAGCTCGATGATCGCCCGCGCCTACCACAAGACGCTAGATAAGTGCCAAAGAGGCCGGCGAAATGGAGACGTGGAAGACAACTGAAGGAGCGACAGATAACCCCTCACTGTGGCACAGAGAAGAATACTCTCACACACACCCACAGACACACACACACACACACACACACACACACACACACACACACACAGAATCAAGTATGGAACAAAGAATACACACATTGAGGAAAAAAATACATCAAACACGAACTTCATTTTCATGCTGTTCGTCTGACGCCTTACATATTTATTCAAGTCTTTCTCATCACTCTTAATGTCCTGCACACATGGTTTGATTCATCAAAACAGAAAAATGAAGGCTGCCGCTGTTTGAAGTGAAGCGTTTTCATTGCTTGGAAGGCCATTTTGAATCTTGCAACTCTAAGCCTTCTATCTAAAATACTGCAGTTCATATAGAGACATGCAATGTGTTGAAAATAGACATTCTGCCAAGAAGGACTGCGACATACAGTCATGTATGCTCATCATTCCGCACACAGCACACTCAACAAAGATGCAGCGGGCCAGCTGTCCTGTACACGGGGAAAAAAAAGAGGATTAAACACAAATGTTGGCAAGCAGACAACTCGCTGTCGCTTTCTGGAACACGTCACTGAACTTTAAGAGGAGAAAAGTATGTTGCTTTTTTTTCCCTCTTCCTCCTTTAACCAACATCAAGATGTTGTTGTTTTTTTGGCCAGCAAATGTACACAGGACTTATTTCATTTCATTACATATCCCACAAAGCCACAGGAGCTGGCCCCTGTCTGTGCCGATATTTCAGAGCATGTGACTCATGGCCCTTGAAACTGTTATCTCCATTTTGACAAGATGCATTTTATTTTTAGTTGTGTAATATCTAACCGAAGCCTGCGGGTGCTGATCTCTGTCCCAAGGTCGCTTTTGCTGTTAACATAAGAGACTGACACATTTCTAAATGCATACAACTGCCTGGAGGAGCCCACATGACCTTTTTGACCTTCCCTGCGGACACACAGGTTTCCATTGAGGGAGGCTTGATTAGAGGCTTGATTAATATTCATCTATTTCATATTGGTTTTTTTTGTTTGTTTTTTTTACATCAAGGCTCTAAAAGAATTTGAAAAATGTGTGTTTCACAGCTACTGCTGAAAAGTTTGCTCTACAAACTCATTATTTAAAAAATCAATACAAATGTGCTCTGTAGGAAGACAAAGACAAACAGCGTTATATGAACACATTTAAGATATTTGAGCATTTCTAATGAATTGAACCAGGTCTTTGCAGCTAAGAAAAGACTAAGCTGCTGACGTCTCAGCATCCATTGATATTGTTGAAAAAAATGTGAAATATGTGTAATGATTATTGGAGCAACAGGACATATTTTAGTCATACATCCAAAAAAATAAATAAAAAAATAGCAGCCTTTGGGAGGGAAAAAGTCCTCTCAAAATGTACCAAGGGAATCCATGGCTCAAGCACCAAAGGGTTTCAGGACTTCAAACTGTACCACACTATCAGAGAGTCTGCCTCCTGATAGGATCTGTGTAGTCCTAACTCAATGCTAAACACTGATTTCAGTAGCATCTCTAACCTGATGAAGCTTTTTAGCATCAAAACCAAACCATCAGAACACATGACTCTTGGTGTTAGTTTTTCAAAATAACTCAAACTTTGCTGTAAGCTCAGTGTCTCTGCAACTGTCACACATTTTCTTCACGTGAACTATTTATTCATATATTCATGCCTAGGGCGGCCCTGTCCCCCTACTGCCCTAAACTGTAAGCAGATGCTACTAAAAACAACCACTGAATCCACATGGAGAGCAGGCACGAGCAGAATAATCGACTAAAGGGGGCAAAGAAGACAAGATGATGCTTGTCTTTCCGAGTCTCCAAACGCCCTCCAATTCCCCGGCACTAAAGGCATAAGCGACCCTGTTACCAAAACACAAGTAACTTTAGTAATACCATAACTCTGCTTTAGGCTTTTATCTGCTTGCGTGTGTTTTTCTTTTTGGGGGGGGGATTGTGTGTGTGTGCCAGCTCAGTAATCGGAACAGGAACCCAGGCAAAATAGGATTCAGTGTGCTTGACTCCTGGGCTGAAAAGATGGAGATTTTTCATTTAAACAATCTGCCAGCGCAGCTTGTGATGTGTCTGTTTCATGATGCCTGCTCTCCCAGCCTGCATGCATGCTTCCAAAAAAATGCAATTTTACACATCATCTCAGCTCAAGGTACATCCACAATACTCAGAGAAGTTTGCATATTTTGGAGGACAGTAATTCTCCTCTGGAATATAAGGTTGGAGCAGTCGCATGAAGCTAGAGAATGAAGTTTCCACATAAGGGATTATCGACCGTTAGGACTTTTAAAGATGTGTTTTACACAGCAGAAAGAGGTGTGCCATCAAAGGCAGTGATTTCCCTTCTCTAATCTCTCCACACTAACACACATGCAGAGTTAAGAGTTTGTCCTCCGGTGTCTGTTGAGACATTCGGTGTTGTCCGCCCTGTGATTGGATTCTCTACAAGTCTTCTTCTTTAAAAAAAAAATGTTTTCTTTATAATTCGACTGAAATCTTTTTTCCCCATTATGATTAATTTTGATTATTTTTCCACATGTGCCAACTTTGTTTTTGTGAGAAACACAAAAAAATCCCATTTACAAAGATTGAAAATTCTTGTTTTTATTTTTTTTTTATTTTGTTGGATTTTTCAAAGGGAGTACAGTTTTCTTATTGTCCAAGTGGGAGAAACATTGTACAGACATGTTCAAATTGTAATTTAGCCATTGTTTGTTACACATTGATCCAATTAAGAACTGTGGTTCAGAGTAGAAGAGTTTGATGTGATTACAAAATGATAGTCATGTGGTATTTCTTATTGAAAATGCTTTTAAAATATATGTTTGAATTAAAAAAAAAAAACGTCTGTGATGATGCCATGATAGAACGTAACGAGCGACGTAAAAGCGCCGGTGTTAGCCATTATAGAAGTTCGCATCATGCAACTTTACCGCAACAATGAATTATTTTAAATTATGCAGCAGGAAACTCAAACAGAACGATGTACTCTGAACTTCAGAGTCATTGCCATTTAACAGATGAAATGGTGTTAAAGCAGGGGAGGAAAACATGAAATTTAGTGCAAGGGGATTTTTAAATCCAAGATAAACTTCTACAATGACAACAATCCTCATCATCCCCGTAAGTGATCGTTGTATTTCTCTCCCATTCCATCTTTAGGATCATCAACATGGAGTGTTTAATAGAATGTAGCGGTAGAGTCTCGGGTCAAAGAGCCTGAAATGTTCCATCATGTTAGTGTTAAAAAAAACAAAAAACAAGCCTTTGTGTGTTCAGGTTGATCATCCATTTGTCTTTTAGCTTGTAATTAACAAACCTGACTCCATGATATGACTTGTGCTCATGGTAACCGTAAGAGTGAGGAGGCAGGGGTATGAACGATGTGTCAAAAACTGTAAAAGGTGCCATTTTGGGTGGTGATTGGTGGCAAGAAAAAGTTTGTAACTTACACTTACTGACTGTGCACTTTACCTCATATTCTGCTCAGGCGGAGGAAGAGTTGTTGGATATGTTTGGACACGACTTTGCCGCTAACAGAGTGAACTATTTGCAAAGTATTCCTTTTGGTAAATAGCTCCAGCTGCCGCATATCCAGTTCTCTTCTACTTTGTTAGTGCTTACTATTGATTTGTGGAAGACCGATCGCGGCTGAATCAACAAGCAAACGCTCATAGCTGTTGACAAACCCTGTCCGACCGTGGTGTGTAAGCTGCCATATCCCTGCCTACCCTCCTTGTTGTCATTGAGTATGTTTTATTGTCTTAAAAAACATTTATATTTGTAACATTTTAAGTTTATTTGTATCCTTAAGAACATGGAAAAAAAAACAACAAAATGGTTATGCACACTGTCCTTCCATAGAATATGTAATGGAATATGATACTAAATAATAACCACTTTGTTATACAGTATAAACTGATTTATGAAACAAATGTTTGTCTGGCATTCATTTCTTTTAACTTGTCATTTTATTTCTCCTTCCAAATACTGCATTCTCTGTGTGCTCAGTGGCAGGGCAGAGGGAACCTGCCCCACGTTGACTTATGGACAAGGATTACAGAGGGCTCCCCGTGTTAGCGCATGATGAATGGGACAGCTCCTACCTATAAAAGCAACATATTTGGACCTTGGTGTCCCCCACTGCTTTATCTTCCACAATGTCAAAGGCAAAGTGATAATGCTGTCATGTCTGACTGCAGCTTAGGGAAATTACTACTGAGTCAAAAATACATATTCAGAAAAAAAAAAAAGCCCTTATTAATCTCATTGTGGAGCCAAAAAACACCCTTGTGACTACACATTTTCTCTGCCGAAATTGGCCGACAGGAGAGATGGCACCACACTGCAATTATTTGTTTATGATAGGCAAGAATTAAATATAAAAAAAGGGGGGAAACATTTTTGGGGGGATTTCAAATCTTGTAGATGGTGAAAATAACTACCTATAAAATAATATTTTTTCCTGATTGTTTTACAAGCAATCTGATCTTAAACTAATTAAGCTGAGACCTTTTTTTATTCTCATAAAATTAAACTCTGTATCCGTCTGCACATGAATCTGTGAGATGCATTGACTCTCCTGCTTCCTAACTCCTAACCCCATGTGTTCCTCCCCCTGTCTGGCTGTGCAAGTCCCAGGAGTGAGGTTCAAATGGCAGGGCAGAGCTGTTCCTGTCCTAGCCCCTTAGTGTTACACCTCCCCCCCCCCTCCCTACACCCCTCCTTAAACATGCTCAAATCCAATAGCGTGCTCTCCCTGCATGTGCCATGTCCCACTTCTCTGCTGCAGCATGACATCATAAAATAAAGGCTGACATGAGGAAGTAACCCTGTGGCCACAAGGGCCTCTCACACTCTGTAAAACAACCACACACACACACACACACACACACACACACACAGACACAGAGGCACACAGCTCCATTCTGCAATCTTGGGACTGATCTTCTCCGAGTCTCTCCTCCTCCCTGTGTGCAGCCAAACAGATGGAGATTCATCTCTCAACAAGCTGTGATCTGTGTTTAGAGATGTGTGCTGCAGAACACAACTCTAATTAGGTTTATTGTTGATCTTGGGAGGTTAATTTGTACTTGGCTGCAAGTAAACATGCTGAAGAGGCCAACCTAGTTCCTTACGAGACACCGGCATAGCAGCGAAAAAAGAAAGAAGAGCAGTCGTTTTTATCTTCTTGACTTTCCAGGTGATTCAGAAGGATTACACCACCGGCGCTATATTTGTCTGCTCGGGTTTAATTGCGCTTTGTACCCTGGGTGAGAGATCTGTCTCTGTTGGGATGCAGGAACGAGGGATGAGCTATAGTGTGTTTGTCTAATGAGCTTACAGGTACAGTTGTGTGTACGTGGCAGGTACTACTTTTATATTTATTTCATCCTGTTTTTTTTTTATTTTTAAAACCTCCAGGTAAGTAGCCTTGTCACATTCTGAGAGATGATCCAGGCCCACACAGGGTCCCTTTATCTCTCCCCACCCCTTTTTTTTTTCTTCTGTATTCTATACTCTGGTGTTGTTAATGCTCTTGGTGATGGCACAGTCATCAGCGGGGGTAAAACGCCATTATCCTTCATTTTGCATTTCCACCTACTTGAAAACCCGTAAACATCACCGAGACGAGACAAAGAAGACAGCTACGAGTTGCTCCTTACCTGAGCATTTTCTGTCTGAGGAGGGCTCTTAACAAGCTGCACTGCAGTTTGATGAATAACATGTTTGTGTGCGTAACCTAACAAATACATCAGGGAAAGATTTTCCTTCTGTCCTGTAGGTGTGTTTGACGTAACTGTTTTAATGTTAACAGTTACAGAACAAAAATTAAGAACATACACAAAATACAACATTCCTATACGTACTTGAAACCAAGATTAAAGTCTTAGCCTTTTATCAGTTCACATAGCTCAAGAATATTAAATAATCAGACTATCCACTGCATGGCTGAACCAATCACGGTTTATACAATCAGATACAGGCATGACATTCTGGTTGTTGAGACGGCAATGTTTTCATGCCATACACAAAACAAAATCTGTAAACTCAAGAGACAGAAGTAGTGAGGGGAATGACATGCAGATAAGGAGGTGGGATTTGAACCTGGGCCGTCCGCTTCAGTTTTTACTTGCCACTCTAACTTTGCTAAATGTTGCTCAGTGCTGTGCTCAGCATGGATTAATGTTGGCTCTTTGTAAATAATATAACAGTAAGAGTAAGGTGTTTTACCTGCTCCGAAGTGTCTTGAGATAACATCTGTTATGCGTTGGCGCTATAAAAATAAAAGATTGATTAATTGATCACTGCTGGCACTGCTGTGGTCACCTGAACTGCAATCTGAAGTAAGAAAGAGCAAGGGGGGAAAAAAGTTATTAACTAAATGAGGCGACACCTGCGAGCGGGTTCAGGCAGACAACTCGAGCTGCACTAATTTCACACTTGACATGCGTCATTATGCACAATCACCTGACAACACCTCCTTCCAATTAGTGGTCAAAAGCTGAAAGACTTTTTGGTCTCTCCCTCTGCTCCTCTACCAGTACTGCTCAGCCCCGCCACCACTCCAGCATCCGCCTGACTGTAGTGGTTTCAATATCATCCCATCGCTCCTCAATTTTCTGCATGTAAATAAAACTGTGAGGAGGGATAAGGTCGGAGCCTTGACGCCAAACACAAACTAAGTTCTGCCGCTGCAATAAATATTTTAAGCAAATGACGACATCATTGTCTGACTGAACTTATCTTCATATGAATTTTTTGAAAAACAGCATAAAAAAGATCACAAATACCTTTAACAAGCTATTTTTACATTGCTTATCTTGTTTTGCCGTCACCTTTACGTACGAGTCCATTACGCCCCCTTTAAAAATGTACTTTAAAAAAAGTTAATGTAGTTCCTGCATCCCATATACAGAGGCTGTGGCCTTGGTTTCACATCTGACCTGTGGCTCCTTCCCGCATGTTATTCCCCACCCTCTCGCCCCGATTTCTGGCCACTATCCTTTCTCTAAATAAAGGAACTGGAACCCATGCCCAACTCAATGCTCAGAATCAGCTGTGTGAATGTCTCCAAACATCTCACTCTGACATTTGTCACTCCTCTCTTTAACACAACATCCTCTCCAGACGTTCAAACCAATGACCCGCTCTTTCATCTTTTTATTTCCTGCCCTTGAGTCACCAAAAACTCACTTGTCACCATGTTTGTCAAGCCTGCCTTTCCCGAGCGTTACTTTCTTACAGATCAATACGCCTTTTATACTACATGAAGTTTCAAAATGACCCAGACAGCAGATGTGTCTTCTGTGTCACAATACTTCAAGCGTTGGCTGCTCACACTATGTCCAATAATGCTGCGCGACACTGAGCGATGCTGCTATTAACCTAACTTTTGAAATGTAATAATGACAGATTCCTGCGAGACCTTGTGCTCCTTTGTATCGGTCAGATAAATATCCTGCAAGGTTACTATTGATCACTGCTGGTGCTGCTGCATTCAGCGTGGCATTTCCATGATCACAGTTCATTGCTCCTTCTTATAGCTCCTTTTCTCCATCCTGCCTCACCCCAACACGCTTCCAGGAGACGTGGCTCCCAGCAGGGGGAGGGTCAGCTCAGAGGAGACTTCAACCTGTCAAAAAAAATTCACATCTAGCCCCTCATGCCTCCCTTCACCATCCAACCACCCCACCCACCCTGTCTCCCACGTCTTTCTGGCACCCATCACTCCTCTTCTCCTCACTTTTCCCCCTCCCTCCTCTTGCCATTTGATTCAGATCACTGAGTTAGCCTGCATCTCCCTTTGTCTGAGGCTCCATTTTAGCTGGCAGATGGACAGGAGCACAAGAGATGGACTCACATTGAGGGGAGTATTTATGTGTGTGTGTGTGTGTGTGTGTGTTAGGAATGGAAGAGGAGAAAAAATGAGAGGAGGAGAGAAACTTTTCTGGGAGGTAAAATGTCAAACAGCAATGAAGTGAGGAGACTTTTATCTGTCAAACCTGTGTGAGGTCTTGCCTTTCAGGCTCCTGAGTGACAAGGCTGCAGTTAAAAGTGAGCCGCGATGCCAAAGTGAGGGCGACAGAATGAGTTTACCTCCCGTTCAGATAGCTTGTCATACAGTATCAGCCTTATCTGTACGTGCCCTATTTTACCTTCGCAAATGTAGATATCAAAGGGCCTTATTTTGGGTCTTTTTGAACAATATCAAAAAGTCAAAAATTAATCATCCAGAAAAAGTACGAGGCCAATAAAGTTGTGCTTTTAAAAATAGTCAACTTCAGCAAGATTAGTAATCCAAAATGTCCACTTTTTTTTTTCCTGGTCGCCTGATCTTTTATGCTCTTACAATATGGCCAAAAAGTGGCTGACTCACTGCATACTCACTGACATGCCCTAGATTGCTCCACTACTATGCTCATGCTCTGAGCCCATGGCAATGCCTCCACACAACACAGATGCAGGCCTAAGAATAGAGGAGAGATTGATGGATGTAGAAAGGGAGGAAGGGAGCTTGGTAATTGGGTAAGTGCCCTTCTGGATGTGGAAGCCTGAATAAAAGTTGTTTCTTTTTTTTTTTCTTTTTTTGTCTAAAAAGCCTTTCTTAGGATCGTTTCACTCAAAAGTACATAAAAGCTCTTTCAAAGTTTCTCTGTGTTCTTTGCCCTCGACTGAAATAGTCCCCGCGGAGAATGCAGAAACACACAAACACTCACGCTTTCTCTCCTGAAAGACCAGGATAAAAGGGTTGACCCCACAAATACAAACTTACACGCATGCGCGCAAACATGCACACATGCACACACACACACACACAAACAGTCATAAAAAATAGAGGGCATTCCTTTCTGGCCTCCTAACAGTTTTTTCTTTTGCAGCTCTGAGTAAACTCAGGATTATTAATAATGCTCTAGTTGAAACATAACAAGTA